TACTCAATCTAGCTAGTGGGGTACTGGCATATTTAAATGAACCCAAATGAAAAGGAAAAAACCACCTTCATCTCCCAATTTGGGATCTTTGAGTTTAACATTATACTATATAGTCTTACTAACCCTCTAGCAACTTTCCAATGGCTGATAGACCAAATCTTTAGTGATATGATTAGTTGTTTTGTGGTTATCTATTTAGACAATCTTAATATTTTCTCTTACTCCTTTTCTGAACATCTCACACATCTTGCTGAAGTCTTTGACTGCTTTAAAAAGGCTGGACTTAGGCTTAACCCCAAGAAGTATCACTTTGTAAAACAAGATCTTAAGTTCTTGAAGTATATTGTTAATATTAAGGAAATCTTTACCAACCCCAGAAGATAAAAATTATGAAAAACTTTCCCACACCCACCAACCTCCAACAACTGCATGAGTTTAGAGGCTTGGCCTCCTATTACCATTGGTTCATTAAAGACTTTTCAAAAATTGCAGCTCTTCTCAACTTTTTATTAAAGAAAAATACCAGATACTCATGGACAAGTGCTCAGAAAGCTGCATTCATTAATCTGAAAGAAAGGCTCATAACTACTCCTATTTTGGCTTATTCTGATTTCGATGAACTATTTCTTCTCTTTACTGATGCTTCTGGCATGGCGTTAGGAGCCATCCCTTTTCAGAAGAACCTTCAAGGAAGAGAAAAAGTGATATATTATGCAAGTTAAACCCTATTACTGGCTAAGAAGAACTATTTGGTAACAGAACAATAGTGCCTCACGGTTGTCTGGGCTATCTCTTATTTCTGAAAATACTATTTTAGGATTTGTTTTACCTTGATCACTAATCATTCTGCCTTGAAATCAGTGATGAAGAGTTTGCTACCCTAAGGCCATCTTGCTTAATAGATTTTAACTTTACAAGAATATAACTTTAATATACTCTATCATTTAGGAAAATAGTACTTGAATGCAGACAGTCTTTCTTGTCTTGTTGCTCCCAAGACCAAGAATCTGATTATTATCACTGTTCCCACTATCTCTACCTTTATATTTCTTAATTAGATTTAACTCTAATTTAATATTTCGAGACACTTATACACTTCTAACTAAATTCAGTTTTTTTACTCTTCTATTATTTGGTGATCTTTTGTTAACCACTATTTTTCTTTATTTTAATAATAAAAACTACAACTATCTATCAAATATAAATCCAATACAGTATTAAACTTTTACTAAATTTCTCACTAACTCTC